TTTGAAGACGAAGCTTCAGTTGTTTGAGGAAGTTCAATAAACTGTTTTTTGGCAGGACGTTGTTGTTGGTCGTTGTTAGGTGAAGAAGAGCGAGTCTTGTTAGACTTATTGTTGTTGTTGTTGTTTCCGTTTTTTTTGGTCATTTTGAAATTGGGGATCAGCGGAAAAAATAAAGAAAACTTATTATATTAAATAATGTAAATAAAGTTTTGATTTAAATTTATCTAAATTTAAATTTTTTATAAAAATAATAATGGTTTTTAAATTATGAATTATTTTAGAATTAAATTTTAAAAATAAAAAAAATTTAAATTAATTAAATAAAATCAAATTATTATTAAAATAATAAATTATATAATAAAAGGAATTTTTAATAATAAATTAATATTTTTTTCTTTTAGCTTTATTTATTTTTAATTTAAAAAATTAAATTTAACAAATTTTTTCAATTAGAAATTAGATAATAAATAATAAAATTTAAGATTAATTTTCATTAAACAACACGTTTTTTTCCTAAAACTTTAAATAAATCACGTAGACAGTGTATTATATGATTAATCACTTTTTAACACTACTTGATGAACATCGAAATGATTTATGAGGATGATAGTGTGATCTTTCAGGTCCTTATCACTATGAAAAATTTGATAACCAAAACCTCGTTCTAAGCAATATTGATACAATAATAATTTATTTATTTTATTTTATAAAATCAAAAGTGACCTTTTTTTTGATTTTAATTCAAAATTCTTATATAAAAAAATTTTTTAAATAGATTATAATATGGGAGTGTTTATAGGAAAATCAGGTTCCGAGAAATTTTTGACTAAAATTTAGAGCTTAATACATTTTAATCTAATAACATCAAAAACTAAAATGCAATAAAAATCTCAATTTTGCTAAAAAATTCCCAGAACCTGATTTTCCTAGAAATCAACCCATATTTTATTGAAAGTTGCATTATGTTAACTGTAATAAATTTTTAAAAATATAATTAATTTTTTAAAATAAATTCATTAAACGTCAAATTATCACATAAAATTTTTGGAACCAACCTTAATCTATACCAAGAATTTCTTCAATATACTTATACCAATGGTATGGACCTTTCTAAATTGAGAAGATTTAAATTGGTAAAAATATACTTATGCAAATTTTTTAATTAAGAAAATAAATTTTACTTTGTAATTCCGTTTCATATTTTTCCATTTGATTTCACACTGATGGGCAGAATAATTTTCGTGTAAAATAATGGAGGCATCTTTCCAAAGCTTCTCTCTAACTTCATTAGCAAGAATACCTCGACTTTCCAACTGTACAACCTTTTCTTTATTTGCTTTCAAGTATGTTAATAATGTTTTAATGTCAACTTCCTTCCATCTTTTATTTTTTCCTTTTACAGTAGCATTATACTGAAGGTTTTCGCTTTTATTTGAAAGTTCAGGAGTAAAAACCATCCTTTCTTCATGAGATTGACTTTCGCTTTCATTCGAAGATTCAGAATTAATCGTGGAATTCTCCATAACTGAGTTTCCTTCATGACGTTTATTAAATTTGTTTTCAATTTCATTAAAATATTCGGGAGCAATGGCAATTGAGCTTTCTCCATAACCTTCATAGGGTTGTAAACCTATGAAAGAGAAATGAAATTACAAAAATATGAGATGGGGCCAAGTAAAATAATTGGTTGAAATATTGCATCGGACGCACCAACTTTTTTGTATAAACAGCCAATCAAATAATATTCACGTGACACTTTTGAATAAGATATATAAAAACGGTATCGGAAAATAAAGCCACCGAAATATTACCTTTATAAAACTCGTCTTGTTTGGGAGGAATATATCGTAAATATTGTAACGAATTTTCGACATCAGTAACAAAACTACAACCTTTAATGAACTTAGAAGAAAGTTGTGTAGATTGGTTTTTTATTAAATAATGAGTTAAATCTTTATTTAGCTGCTCTTCAAAATTTTTTCGTTCTTCCTGTTTAAACTGTTGAAGCTTTACATAATAAATAAATTTATTTTGATATAACTCCCTAAATTCAACAGAAAGCTTTGTACAAATGACTTTATAAAGATTTCGATAATTAAAGGTGTGAAAATAAATATCTTCAGCAGTATCATTATCATAGAGTTGTAGAATTTCACTAAATGATATATAGAACAGTTGATCATTGTAATCATAAAAAGATATCGTCGTGTCGTCATAAAGATCAAAATCCGTAAACGCCGCCATATAGGTACAATTTTATATAATAACGGTAAGGAAAAAAAAAATTTTTTTTTTGAAAGTATTTGCTAAAAAAAAATTTGGAGAGTATTTATGAACTTTCATTTTGAATTGGATTCAAATTGATTCGGATCGATTCGCTGGTAATACGAATTTCCAATTTATATATTGGTTATTTTCTAAAGCAAAGCTAATAATTTAGTAAATGTGGTTATTCAGGATATATCAATTCAATTATAATGGTAGGTCTTTGATGCATGTCACGCTAAGTAACGCAAGAATAATAATATCAACTTTTCAGTAATCCGATCCATTACTCTTTTTGCATTAGGCTAACCACAAAATAAACTTTATTTATAATGATTATGAGAGACCATTGTTTGTATTTGACTTTATTTGATTAGGAACGAAAAACAAAACATTGTAAATAAAATATTCACTCCTTACATATCACCGGGCACGTAGAAGTGATAATAATGAATTTTTGATTAGAATCGCTACACAAATCCAATCCGATGAGGATCTGATTTTTAAGTCTACTTAATTTAGCAATTATTAATTCATATAATATTTATCACATGCCATTCTTGAAATTTAGCGATTATGTTCTACAAAGTGCTTACCTGAATGGATTTTAACATTTTTTAAACGTTCTGTTTTTATATATACTTTTTGTGTAAAATAAGAAATACCATAGCAATAGATAAGATACACGAGAGAACTTTGAGCAATAATGATTTATGCAAAACTATTTAATATTTGGGGAGGGGAGTAGTATAAATATTATGTGATATTAGTCTCGTGTATAAATTGTAAATTTAGATTCTTTTCAAAATTCTATACCTTTAGTTATATGTCCGATGATTTCTAATGTATACGTAATTCATCCTACAATACTTTCTTTAATGAAAATTGAATAGGACTCATGTATATAATAGGGATGCGACCTTTACGTTGAGTTAGAATTCTCAACGACTTCAATATAAATATTACTTGTAATTTTGAAAGAAAGCATCACGATGAATACTTGATCAAATTCAATCATATTTATTGTTAAATTATGTTAATAAATAAATATATGAAATAATATGAATGATATGAATAATTTTGAAACAGTCACTTTTTCAATACCCAAATTAATATTCCATTACATCATCTGCACTATTCTCGACCAGAATACTTTCGGGAGATCCCACTATCAAACAAGCTTTGCCTTGAGGGAAAAAAAAAAATATGAAATTTATTAATTGTGTTGAAAAATTAATATCGACAATGATTAAAATATACTTACTATTACTAGTTTGATCGAGAAAAGGAGAATCTAAATCCGACACTTCTGATTCAATCGAGTTTTGTCTTTTAATGCAATTATTTATTAATAAGTTGTTAAGTTTTTAAAAATAACCTCGTTAAATTCAAATTATCACTCAAAAACTTGTTGATACGTACCTATACTTACTGCTGCCAAGAATTTCTTCAACTTCTAACCTACACCACAAAATCTGATCTTTTTTCTAAATTAAACAATTCAATTTATTAGAATTATTAGTAGTTAAACTTTTTAATTTCTGTCTATTTTTAAAGAAAATAATTTTACAATATAAGCCGCCTTTAAATTCTTCCATTTAATTTCACATTGATGAGGCAAACAAAAGCATTCTTTTTCTCGTAACGCTTCCGAAGCGCCATTCCAGAGAGACGATCTCACTTCCTTAGCTATTGTACCGCGACTTTCTAGTTGTATAACCTTTGTATGATTAGAACGCAAATATTGAAGCAAAAATGAAGTTTCTATTTTACTCCAGATTTTTTTTGCTAAAGTAAAAAAAGGTAAAAATTTCAATTATCATTATCACGTGCTTTTGATCAAGATTATTCGTGTAACATGACAACCGCATTACCTGAAGCCAACGAACGAGTCACTCTTTCCTTAATCGTTCCTAAATTTTTCTCAACAAAATCTTGTTGTATTTTTAGTTCGCGATTTGATTCAAGCGTTACTTCGTAAATTGTACAATTATTTATTGTAACAGGTTGTAGGTGATAAAATTTATAACCATGGATAGTGGGAAAAACGATGTGTAATAAGCTCAATAATTCAGTTGCAGTGGCAAGGTCTAATAATATTTCCTTACAGGTGAAATTAATATCATCCTTACAAAAGGTCTTTGGATTACCAATAAAATAAATTTCTTGAATATTAATGAAAGGGGTTTCAGTGTGCATTAGCGTTGAATACATGGTTTAGAGTATGATAAATCTCAAGCTTGCTTTATATTTTTTATATTTAATAATTTTTTTCTTGAGCTTGAGGCCCATTTATTTATAAGAAAAGATTATTATTTTATATTTGTTTGTTTTTATGGATCGAAACGAAACGATCTCAATCAGAATCATCTTTAAATCCAAAGAGCTATCCATATTAAGAATTGTACCAAGGAATTATATATTTTTCTGCTTTGGGATCGCGAAATAATCTATATATCATAAATTTTTTATTTTGTTGTAATCTGTTCTTGGTGATACGGATCGAATTGAGATCGACAAATCCAAATGACCCCATTTAAGCCAACACAGTTTGGTTTAATACACGTAAAATGGGATTTAAAACAAATTACAATGGAAATATGGATTTGATGAAAAAAAAAAAAATAAAATTTAATAAAAAAACTGAAACCATTTAAGAATTGTGATACGGATTGGATTGGATATGATATGATGTCATTTTTTACACGAAATGCTTATAAGCTTTGCTAAAAGAACCTTTAAATCACGTATTTCATGTTACAAGAATAGGTGCTAATCTAAATGCCTTAATATTTTGGAATTGTACCAAGTGATTATATAATTTTCTGCTTTGGGATCGCGAAATAATCCATATATCATAACATAAATTTTTTTGTTGTAATTTGTCTAGGTGATACAGATCGAATTAAGATCGTCAAATCCGAATGATTTAAACCAACACCAATGTCAATTTTGAATTGTTTTGGATTAAAATATAAAGAGAATAATAATAGGGAAAAAAAAAAACTCTTTCTCCTTTCACCCTGAATTTCTAAAAATTTTAGAAATTTGCTGAGAAAATAAAATTGTTTCGCTCTAAACTTTTATTTAAAATTTACAACTCTGTTAGCTAGTTCTTTAGCTCATTTTTTACAAACAGTTTAAAATACTTGAAAGAGTTTCTTTATTCAATAATTTTTACAAAATGATTAGAAAATCTTCAAAAACTTTTGTCAACAAAACCAACAAATGTTGCTATGATTCCCTTAAGGTTAAACAACCTGAAGCTAGCGGCTCTTCTTGCTCTGGAGAAAAATCCAACCCATCCTTAGTCACTGACAAGAATATTATCAATGATACTTACGTCAGACAGTCTACCCTGTTACCTAAAGTTCTCAATATTCAAGAATTTGTCTCCATTAAAAATGATACAACTATGGAAACTGATAACTCTGATTTTATTATCATTCCTCGCCCTTCTCCCTTTGCCTGCACTGCTACTATTAGCAAAATGCCAAGGACCTTCTCACTCCTCAAATTATCTACATAATCAATAATACGTTTGCGTATAATGATATATTCAGAGGGCTGAATGTACTTTGTGTAAACTTTATGCGTTCTGTAGTTATCTATATTGATAATGCAGAATCTATGCAAGCTGTGCTTCCCACTTAACTTTCTGAATTGGGCATTTAGAAATTTGTGGACTACACTGCTAACAAGGATAATATGCAGTTTTAAAACAGAACTTTGCATATTACAGACATTCACCTCAGCCTAAAAAAAGAAATGATTACTTTAATCTTTTCTAAATATGACACCATTACGAACATCTGTATGTAGGCCAGAGATCTATAGCAACATGTATTCATCACCTATGACAATCTGGATGTAATTAAATTATTTTACACTACATAGTTCTACTATATTTATAATGATTGTATCCGCATATATCCTGCATGCTTTTCTTTAGATCAAGTCAAAGCCAAAAATGAATTCTAGGTTAAGCTAACCAACCTTCCCTTTGGAACTTCTGCTTGTGACATCAAAGATATTATGCTTGCCATTAAAGCAAAATCTTGCTATATATTTCACTCAAACAATTATAAATATAAACTATTCACGATTCTCTATTTCAAATTGACTAAGAACCTAAAGAATGCTATTACTAATGATTATGCTTTTAGTAATAATGAATTACAATGGTATGCAACTAACTCCAAATACTGTTACAAATGTAATGCAGTTGATCACATTGTAATGAAATACCTTATTATTCTAGAACAAAAAAAATAACAGATGAGGTTGAAGAATCTAGACCTCCTAGATCTAAACTGCCTTTCATTTAATGACTTTATAATCATTTCAAACCTGTTAAATCTCGCTCTCTTATCATCAAAAATATAAACCAAAAAAAGAATGACTTACAATCCTTTATCCTTCCAAAATCCTCTAATAAAAGTAAAGGATTATAAACAAATGATGATTCCATCCACAACCCTTAAAATATCTTAACTGATAATAAACAAAAAACTCGATAAAATCCTTAACATGTTAACAAAAATGCAAAAAGATATATCTAAATTAGAAGCTCATATTTTGAAATTAGAAAAACATGAATTCAACTCAGACTCTACCTCTATCATTTCTACCTCCAACATCCTTTTTAATGCTCTAAACAGTTCAGTTCAGTTCAGATTATAGGCCAATCTGAAACTGAACCAAACTGTAAACCAGTAAAAATCTGAATTGAACTGAAAATTTCAGATTAATCTGAAATTTTGGATCATTTAAAATGATTCTTTTATTGTTCTTTTAGAATGATAATTTAATCATTTCAATTGAATAATTTTCTTATCATTCGTTTAGAATAATAACTTCAATCATTCTAAATGAACAATTTTCTTATCATTCATTTAAAACAATAATTTTATTGTTTCAATTGAATGATTTTCTTATCGTTCATTTAGAACAATAACTTCAATCATTCTAATTGAACGATCCTTTTATCATTTGTTTGAAATGATAATTTCATTATTCTAAATAATCTGAAATTTCAAATTAATCTGAAATTTTTGGTTCAGTTCAGATTAGATTTATAATCCAAAAAAAATCTGAATTGAACTGAAAATTTTCAGATTGAAATTTTTGCAATCTGAAACTAAACTGAAGTTGATCCAAACCGAAAATTTTTGGATTAATCCAAATCATTCAGAGCTTTAATTCCTCTAAATCTGCATCTCATAACTTGATCTTAAATTTCAATCAAAAAAAATGCACTCATGTCGCCAACTCATCATCTTATAAAAATAACTCCTTTACTTCTAAACCTATCGATTCTAAACTTTAAGAATACATAGATGAATAAAAATGCTATTATTAAAAATCTTTATAAATAACTCAAAGAGGCAATAACTCAAATCACTATCCTTGCCAATAAGAATGTACATAACTCCCTCACCCTTAACCTTTATCTTTAATTATGATTAATAATAATAATAATAATCTTTCTAATACTAATAATGATATACCTATGATATTATTTTAACAAAATAATATATCATCATCTGCCCCTACTATCACATTTGCTATACACAACATTAATTCTCTTCAATGTTTAATTAAAAATCAATTTATCAATGATTTTTTCTTAGATTTCAACACTGATTTTGTAGGTCTTACAAAAACTTGACACAAAGCAGACTAAACTTTTTGTAATTTATCTGATCCCACTTATACTTTATATTAGAGTAACAACATTAACCTGTATGCTGGTATTGACATCCTTATCAAAAAATCTTAGGCAATTTATATTCAAAAAGCATTTCTAAATCACAACAGATTTATTTACGTTGATCTGTATTTAGCAGGCAATGTTAAGCTTAAAATCTTTTGCATCTACTTATATGCTTTTACTGAAATGTGAATTAAGAAAGAACATTTGAAATTACACAAAGAAATTATTAATTATGTCAAAGAAAGACTTAAGTCTGACTTCAGAACTATAATTCTAAGTGACTTTAATACTAATCTAGATATATATTGGTCACTTGTATGTAATGAAAAATCAATTCATTAGCAAATGAAATTCTATCAAAAACTTTTTGCTCTAAATTTTCTCGACTTTTATGATATATGTCATAATATACCTCAACTAATATACAATTTAGGGCTCTATAGTTTCTGAATCAACATTATTTTTGCTTCACCCAATATTATCTCAGAATTTTATTTTCTTATATTAACACTTCTAACCTTTATTCTTCAGATCATAAAATCATTTTTGCTTTTTTCTCTGATTTTCGTAAATAGCAATCTGCCAGATCTCGTAACTTACAAAATAAAAGGCAGATCTCCAATTTAAAAGTAATGAATAATGCTAAATGAACTAAATTTACCGTGTATACCAATCTTTATTATTGCTATCACAATTTTGATCATTTTAATAGCCTCTCTAGCAATAAAACTAATATGAATATCCTGTATATCCAAATAAAGACTGCTATTCTTGCAGCAAATTGCAGTTGTGTCCCTCAAATTTGGATTTTTCCTTAATAATACCATAAACATCCTTTTGAATAACCTAACACTCTTATTAGCACCTGCAAAGTTGCTTCATTTTTATTGAAATTTAAAAAAACTTTTATTCAACAACAAATCTGACCTAATGCTATTGACTGGTAAGTTATTAAATTAGCTGTAAACAAATTAGTCTTAGTGGTTAAACTTCTCACTGTCACTCTTCCTCCCTCTTTAGATGCTTCTAATGTCTATAATGTCAAGAAATAGCTAAAGGACATTCACAAATCACTCTCTGCTCTTACTCAAATTGATATTTAATATATCAAAGAAAAAGTTATCAAAATCTTTATTAACAAAAGATGTGACAATCTTTAAAATAACCCTTTCAAAATGATTGACTTAATTTTAAACAGAACAAAGCCTTTTTATTGTGTTAGATCGCCTACTTATCAAAGATAGGAATACCTTTATAAATCATTTTACAATCAATCTAGATGATATTAAAAGTACTACTATTAATTATTTTTAAAATTTCGCTCTTCCCTCCTCACCTGCTCCACTAATGTCTTTTAGATAGATTGATCAATTCAATCTTAGAGATTACGTAAATAAATTACATTACTTAAATTTAATATAACCACCTACATATAATGAATGGATTGCTGTCTTCAAATCACTTCCTAATAATAAAACTTCTGGTCTTTTAGGAATTT